GGGGCCACCATGGCTTGGGGGACTTGGGGAGCCCATATCTCCTGTGGCCACCACCCCTTGGTGTCCCCATGTCCCCCTGATGTCCCCACGTCCCCCTGATGTCCCCACATCCCCCTGGTGTCCCCGATGTCCCCCTGGTGTCCCCATGTCCCCCTGATATCCCCTGATGTCCCCATGTCCCCCCAGACATGGACGAGTGCTCGGGGTCACCACACCATGAGATGACCACGACTTGTGGTCATCACACCATGGGGTCACCATGGCTTGGGGGACTTGGAGACCCCATAACTCCTGTCCCCATGTCCCCTGATGTCCCCACATCCCCCTGGTGTCCCCACATCCCCCTGATGTCCCCGATGTCCCCCCAGACGTGGACGAGTGCTCGGGGGGCTCCCCCTGCGCCCCCCACGGCCGCTGCCTCAACACCGCCGGCTCCTTCCGCTGCGAGTGCCACCGCGGCTACCGCGCCACCGCCGGCGCCACCGCCTGCCAGGGTGAGCTGGGGACCCCCGCGGGGACACCCCGGCGGTGCCACCGCCCCCGGGTGACGTTCTGGTGGCCCCGCAGATGTCAACGAGTGCCTGGAGGGTGACTTCTGCTTCCCGCACGGCGAGTGCGTCAACACGGCCGGCTCCTTCCGCTGCCTCTGCGCCGACGGCTACGCCGGCACCGCCGACGGCACCGCCTGCACCGGTGGGTGGCACGCCTGGGGACACCCGGGGACAGCGTGGTGGCACCTCGGGGGGCACCCCCGGGGGTGGTGGCGGTGGTGGGGGGTTTGGGTTTGGGGTGGTGGGGTTTTGGTCTCGTCGCTTTGTCCGGGGTTGTTCCAGTCCTGGTGTCACCAGAGTTGTTCCAGTCCTGGTGTCACCATGCCAGTCCTGGTGTCACCAGAGTTGTTCCAGTCCTGGTGTCACCATCCCAGTCCCGGTGTCATCAGGGTTGTTCCAGTCCTGGTGTCACCATGCCAGTCCTGGTGTCACCAGAGTTGTTCCAGTCCTGGTGTCACCATGCCAGTCCTGGTGTCACCAGGGTTGTCCCAGTCCCGGTGTCACCATCCCAGTCCTGGTGTCACCAGGGTTGTTCCAGTCCTGGTGTCACCATGCCAGTCCTGGTGTCATCAGGGTTGTCCCAGTCCCAGTGTCACCGATGACCACGACTTGTGGTCATCACACCATGGGGTCACCATGGCTTGGGGGACTTGGAGACCCCATAACTCCTGTGGCCACCACCCCCTGATGTCCCCACATCCCCCTGGTGTCCCCGTGTCCCCCTGGTGTCCCCACGTCCCTTTGGTGTCCCCCTGGTGACCCCGATGTCCCCCCAGACGTGGACGAGGTCTCAGGGTCACCACGTCATGGGATGACCACGACTTGTGGTCACTCTGTTATGGGGTCACCATGGCTTGGGGGACTTGGAGACCCCATAACTCCTGTCCCCATGTCCCCTGATGTCCCCACATCCCCCTGATGTCCCCGATGTCCCCCCAGACGTGGACGAGGTCTCAGGGTCCCCACGTCATGGGATGACCACGACTTGTGGTCACTCTGTTATGGGGTCACCATGGCTTGGGGGACTTGGAGACCCCATAACTCCTGTCCCCATGTCCCCTGATGTCCCCACATCCCCCTGATGTCCCCGATGTCCCCCCAGACGTGGACGAGGTCTCAGGGTCCCCACGTCATGGGATGACCACGACTTGTGGTCACTCTGTTATGGGGTCACCATGGCTTGGGGGACTTGGAGACCCCATAACTCCTGTCCCCATGTCCCCTGATGTCCCCACATCCCCCTGATGTCCCCGATGTCCCCCCAGACGTGGACGAGGTCTCAGGGTCCCCACGTCATGGGATGACCACGACTTGTGGTCACTCTGTTATGGGGTCACCATGGCTTGGGGGACTTGGAGACCCCATAACTCCTGTCCCCATGTCCCCTGATGTCCCCACATCCCCCTGATGTCCCCGATGTCCCCCCAGACGTGGACGAGGTCTCAGGGTCCCCACGTCATGGGATGACCACGACTTGTGGTCACTCTGTTATGGGGTCACCATGGCTTGGGGGACTTGGAGACCCCATAACTCCTGTCCCCATGTCCCCTGATGTCCCCACATCCCCCTGATGTCCCCGATGTCCCCCCAGACGTGGACGAGGTCTCAGGGTCCCCACGTCATGGGATGACCACGACTTGTGGTCACTCTGTTATGGGGTCACCATGGCTTGGGGGACTTGGAGACCCCATAACTCCTGTCCCCATGTCCCCTGATGTCCCCACATCCCCCTGATGTCCCCGATGTCCCCCCAGACGTGGACGAGGTCTCAGGGTCCCCACGTCATGGGATGACCACGACTTGTGGTCACTCTGTTATGGGGTCACCATGGCTTGGGGGACTTGGAGACCCCATAACTCCTGTCCCCATGTCCCCTGATGTCCCCACATCCCCCTGATGTCCCCGATGTCCCCCCAGACGTGGACGAGGTCTCAGGGTCCCCACGTCATGGGATGACCACGACTTGTGGTCACTCTGTTATGGGGTCACCATGGCTTGGGGGACTTGGAGACCCCATAACTCCTGTCCCCATGTCCCCTGATGTCCCCACATCCCCCTGGTGTCCCCACATCCCCCTGATGTCCCCGATGTCCCCCCAGACGTGGACGAGTGCTCGGGGGGCTCCCCCTGCGCCCCCCACGGCCGCTGCCTCAACACCGCCGGCTCCTTCCGCTGCGAGTGCCACCGCGGCTACCGCGCCACCGCCGGCGCCACCGCCTGCCAGGGTGAGCTGGGGACCCCCGCGGGGACACCCCGGCGGTGCCACCGCCCCCGGGTGACGTTCTGGTGGCCCCGCAGATGTCAACGAGTGCCTGGAGGGTGACTTCTGCTTCCCGCACGGCGAGTGCGTCAACACGGCCGGCTCCTTCCGCTGCCTCTGCGCCGACGGCTACGCCGGCACCGCCGACGGCACCGCCTGCACCGGTGGGTGGCACGCCTGGGGACACCCGGGGACAGCGTGGTGGCACCTCGGGGGGCACCCCCGGGGGTGGTGGCGGTGGTGGGGGGTTTGGGTTTGGGGTGGTGGGGTTTTGGTCTCGTCGCTTTGTCCGGGGTTGTTCCAGTCCTGGTGTCACCATGCCAGTCCTGGTGTCATCAGGGTTGTCCCAGTCCCAGTGTCACCATGCCAGTCCTGGTGTCACCAGGGTTGTCCCAGTCCCGGTGTCACCATCCCAGTCCTGGTGTCACCAGGGTTGTTCCAGTCCCGGTGTCACCATCCCAGTCCTGGTGTCACCACCATTGTTCCAGTCCTGGTGTCACCACCATTGTCCCAGTCCCAGTGTCACCATGCCAGTCCTGGTGTCACCAGGGTTGTCCCAGTCCCGGTGTCACCATGCCAGTCTGGGTGTCCCCATGCCCATCCCAGCATCCCCATGGTCATCTCCATCCCACACCCCAAATCCCAAACCCTAAACCCCAAATCC